GGGCCCCCCCGGGGCCCCCGCCACATTCCAGAGGGTGATGTACCGGATACTGACACCCCACCACGGGTATTCAGTGGCCTACATAGACGACATTGTCGTCTACAGTCAAACCTGGGAAGAACATCTGAGACACCTAGCAGCAATACTCGCTGCCCTCAGCAAGGCAGACCTCACAGCAAACCCGAAAAATTGCCACTTCGCGCAACGAAAAGTGTCCTACCTGGGGTACACCGTCGGGAGCGGGAAACTGAGGCCACTCTACAGTAAGGTACAGGCGCTCCAGGATTACCTGAGGCCGGCAACAAAGAGACAGGTACGGCAGTTTTGGGGCTTGCCCATCGTCCTGGTCCCAAAACCCGATGGGTCGACGCAGTTCTGCATTGACTTTTGTAGGGTCAACTCAATATCTCGCTTCGACGCCTACCCCAAACCCCGAGTGGACGAGCTCCTGGAGCGGTTAGGCCAAGCCGTGTACATATCCACCTTGGACCTCTCGAAAGGGTACTGGCAAATTCCGCTGGACCACGAAGCCAGAGAGAAGACAGCCTTTTCGACTCCCGTGGGGCTGTTCCAATTCATCACTATGCCATTCGGCCTACACGGGGTGGCTGCCACCTTCCAGCGAGTGATGGACCGGATATTGGCACCCCACCAAGGGTACTCGACAGCCTATATAGACGATATCATCGTTTATAGCCAGACTTGGGAGGAGCACCTGAGACACCTAGAGGAGATACTCATTGCCCTTGGAGAGGCCGGCCTCACGGCTAACCCAAAAAAGTGCCACTTTGCACAATGAGAAGTGTCCTACCTGGGGTACACGGTCGGGAGGGGGAAGCTGAAGCCGATCTACAACAAAGTGCAGGTGCTATGGGACTACCCAACGCCAACGACAAAGAGGCAGGTACGGCAATTTTGGGGGCTCGCAGGCTATTATAGGAGATTTGTCCCACGATTTGCCACCCTTGCTGCACCCCTGACTGAACTGGTAAAGAACACTGAGCCAACGTGGGTGCGATGGACCCTGCAGGCTGAACGGGCATTCCAGACATTAAAATAGAAGTTGTCAGATGCCCCAATACTGACCCAGCCGGATTTCAACCGACCTTTCCTCCTGTACACAGATGCCTCAGACTTGGGCCTAGGCACGGTGCTTGTGAAGGAACACCAAGGAGAAGAACACCCCATCCTGTACCTCAGCAGAAAGATCCTACCCCGAGAGCAAAGCTACGCCACCGTGGAGAAAGAGGCTCTGGCAGTGAGGTGGGCAATAGATGCCCTAAGATATTATTTATGGGGCGATAAATTTAAGTTAATAACCGATCATGCTCCCCTCGTATGGCTAAACGCGATGAAAGATACTAACGCCCGCATCATGCGGTGGTATCTAGCACTTCAACCCTATTGTTTCGAGATTGTGCACCGGCCGGGGGCCACCCACAAAAATGCGGACTTTTTCTCGCGAATAGGGGAACCAGAGACCCCCCCCAGGGAGC